GCTGTACCCATTATGACCCATTTTTGTGTTAGGAAGGGACCCAGAGTTTGGGTCTTTATCTTACAGGGCTGAAAAATAGTGTTCGTTTTTATTTTTGAGTCTTGTACAGTTTTAAATATTTTGTTTCTATGTCAGTGTGACCTGACATTGAACAGTTTTCTTCCTTTCCGAGATCCTTGATTATGCAACATACTGAATGAAACTAGCTGGATTAATTAGCCCAGAAAAGACTTTGTAAAAGCTGGTTCGCAGGAGTGAAGTCTTCATCTGAGGAGGCTCATTGATACTGCATGTACCTCAGTGAGGTTTTCCATGTCAGCAGTAGTCTTGCTACAGCCCTCTGCTCATCGGCTCCCAAAGAGAAGGGTCTATCTCCAGGGAATGCTGGCTAAAAATCTCTCTTTAGCTGCTACAGAGTTTGTGTTCCATCTGTTACAGACCTGGCTTTAACTCATCCCTGCTTTAACTCATGAGTTGTGTTCTCCCAGTATTTTCCCCTTATCTTCACCCACAAAAGTCACTTGGGATTTGATTTACTTAAAGATACTTTTATTTGCAAAAATAAAGCAGTTTTGTCAACACAAAAGCTGTTTTTTCAAAAATACACATTCTCCCTTTTATCTGCCTAAAACCACATTTTATTCTGTGCCTCTCTGTTGTCTTGTTCAGACTTTTAGAGTTAAGTTTTGAGCTTTTGATTAGTGAACTGCTTGATGTGCAGAGGTTCAGCTGGATCAGCCCTTCGCCTCCCCTAGAAATGACATCCCACTGCTGACACAGGGCCCCTCTTGACTCATCTCTCCTACTGCTCCTTTAACAAGCTTTCTTATGTGAAATATGCAGAATTTAATCTGGAAGGGCTTTTGAAGGCTTTTGTAGATGATCGATGATGAACAGCTGATCTTCAGTTATTTTAAATGTTACCAAGATAAACTGAAAAGTAGATTTTGAGAGGTGCGATATGAAGAATATCTTTGTGAGGCTGTCTCATTTGAAAGGGTAGTTTGGGCAGCAGGAGCTTCAGTCAATCCTCTTGCACTTCATTCTCTGCTACTGTTATCTCCTTGAAGGTTATTAATTCCTAGAAAATCTGCTGAAAAAATAGAAACCTGAATTTGCTTTCTTTCTGTAGAATCATGAACTTAAGCTTTGGCTTTCACAATATCTGCTAAAAACTTGTACTTTGCAAATCAAAGGAGACTTGGGCACTTTTTGGAAGTTGGAATAGGATATGATTAGAGACGAGGTGACAATATTTTATTGACTGGAATGTGTTAATTCTGATGGAGGAGGACAGGAGGGAAGCATATTGTTCTCTTAAGCTTGAAAAATAGCTTAGTCTGGTATCCAGTAGTTCATAAATTTAGATATTCTCTCCCAGATCATGTTGTATATTTTAAGAGTAGTATAAATAGCAAGCAGTAGTTAATTGTAAGCAAGAGTTAAATATTTCTATAATCAGATTGGCCTTTGGGTGTGAAAGTAATGGAATGACATATTCATAGAGTGATTTTTTTTCCTTTTTTTCTGTCTGTTCACATACATGTTTTAAAAGGGTGTCATGATCAATATAATATTGACTCAATTATGCCAGCTCTCTTTCTAATGTAACCTGTGACATACTAGCTTTTAACACTTGTTTGTCTATGGTAATGTCACATTGAAAAATGTAATGTTATACAAGATAAAACATGCTTGTTTGTTTTGGGAAATAGTGTATATTTTTATTTATAGATAAGATAGATGATCTCTGGAGGTCCCTTCCAACCTTAACCATTCTGTGATTCTGTGGTATCTGGAATAGTTATCAGAGTAGATTCAAATATTCTTAAGTCTTCTAAACTTTCACAATTAAATATGAAGTTTGGTATTTTTTATGGTAACTACACCTCTTGGACTCTAGCTGGATTTTCAAATGTCTTTATCATCAATTACAAGGATCTAAAATGGGCCATTTTCTGATACAGAAAATTAAACTATATTGGGCATTATCTAGCAACAAGTCTAGTTGTATAATACAAATTCTAAGGAAAAAGGCCAGAACTTCTAATATTTGCTTGCTGTAAACTTACTTGTTCTGAATAAGTGCTCATTTATGCTTAACATATGGATGCAACCAGGCTACATTTATCTAGCAAATGTGTGTGTGTGTGTGTGTATATACATACATACATATATATATATATATATAATATGAAGAACAAGCTTACCCTTTTTAAGTCTACTTTGCATATAGTCTTAAGATATGATCTTATTTTTTCAAGGTGATTTTTAGTAAAGCTAGTGAACTCCACTGTCAACCCCTCCTTAGGGCATTTTTCACAAATAAAAAGCAAAAATCCCCTAGGTTGTGGTTGCTGCAGCCTGTTGTAGCCAGCAGGATGTTGCAATAGATGAGCCCCGAGGATGTCCTGCTTTTTAGTTAAATTAGCTGTGTTTTTGCAGTGGCCAAGAAGGACATGTAGACCTACTCATGAGCACAGTGTTTCTTTTTAATAAATTCTAGTGAGAGGATAACAGAGCATCATGTACCAACCGCTGCTGTTTCTTGAGGCCAAAAGAATGAAATCATAAAGTGACCAGAACTCTACATGGAGATGAATGAGGCGTATTTATAAAGATACACGTTACTCACACGCCTCCAAGAAGAGCGTTTGGGAAAGCCGAGTGTCAGCAGAAGTTTTGGGGTGAATGGGGAAGTTGCACTGCGCTCCGCCAGGCCGGCAGTCCCTGGCTCAGGGGTCTTAGGCTACCCAATATAAGGGACTTTGTAAGTGCCAAAGGGTTATCTGTGGGAAGGGGCAGTAGGTGCCTTTTTTAAAGAATTTATTATGCTGCAGTGAAGCTGGTGCAAATGTTATTTTAAAATAGAGGTGATGTGAGCTTTTCCTTTCCCCGATCTGCAAAGATGGGAATTCAGCATGTCTATTAATACCCAGGCCATTTAATATACCCTTTAAATCTGCCTTTCTGTCTGCCTGGGTGAATATGTGAAACTTGAGTGAGAGTTTCCTTGAAGAGCTACGAAACTCCCCGCCGGGCTTCACGTGGACTCATCCTGGCCGCTCTGCCACCGTCGGACACGGGAAGTGCCCTCAGAGCCGCACGCGATGCCCGGGAGCCCTCACTCCGCTCCTGCAGCACCACAGCTCTTCCAGCTGCTTGCCCGGGATCCATTTCCATAGGCCTTCCACAAACCAGCAGCCCTTTAGTAGGTCTGAGCTGAAACCGGTATTCAGCAAGTTGTAGGGCTTGATTATATTCAACTTATACTTGATAAAATTTTTCTTTTTCCAGGCTGATGGGCTGTTTGTGCAACCAGACATGGCATTGGCCGTTAATGAGTGGCTTTCAATAGCCAGCTGATCGCTTTAAGAGATATTTCGCTGTCCTTCCAGTTTTGGAAGGCCTCTGTGGGGAGCTGCTTGTCCTCAAGGAGTTAAGCGAGGGCTGTGGTGCTGCCCTGGCCAGTGCCATATGAAAGCAGTTAAAATGCTGGAATTGTTTACAGCCCGAATTGTTGTTAGTCAGCAGCGCCAGTACACCAGGCTTCTCTGCGGCTTTTAGTGGAAAATATTAAACAGTCGCTCTTTCTTCAGTTATAGAATTTTTACGTTTGAGCCGAATTAGTCACGGAGCTGGCACAGGCGTCGCCTCTGCACGGACTGCCCAAAAGGCGCCTTTTTCTCCTCCTTTCCCGCCGGAGGAGGCGGCTCTGCGAGCGGTAGCTCCGCTCGCGGCG